GTTCGAGGTTGAGCGCCGCCAGTGACACGGAATCGGCCAATGCGGAATGATCTGGCGATCGAAACGCCGCCGATGGTTCAAAGTTGAGCGATCCGCGCGGTGCCAGAAACCCACAGTGGGGCCGTCACGATACGCAATTGCCGTACAGTGCCGTTTTTAATACATGCTCCACGTGCGGATCATGTATCAAAATTGCATTGATTTAGTATCAGAAACAACGATGAGCTCATGCATAAAATTATTCATAAATTAATCATGTATTCAAAATCCCATCTGCAAGAAACAAATCCTATGTATTAAAAATTGCCCCGTACGGGGAGCGTGGCGACGAAGGCCAACAGCAGTCGTTGCCCATTTCGAGCAGGATTCGCCGTGCGTGCCGCCGCGGGCGTTGATTCGATCTGAGGCGCACGCTGGCCGTCGCCCAAGAGTGACCGCTGTCGGGAGCCTGGAGACGGGGGTCTCTGCACGAACGAGATGGGCACGGAAAGAATGGGTACCATGCTCAACATCAGTTCCTGTTCCTTTTGAACAGGACTCGCTGTCCGCGCCGCCGCGGCATGTGCCCATTTGAGACAGAAGGCCGCCTGCCAAACAGCGGCCGCTGCTGATTCGGGGCAACATTTGCTGTTGGGCATTGTGCCCATTCTTTCCGTACCCATTTCGGGCGTCCAAAGGGTCGATGCAGACGGGGGTCAGCCAGAGCGCCAGATTTTGCAGGATCTTGCAGGGCCAGTGGCGCACTAACCCGGGCCTGGGCGCAGGATCTTGCAGGAGCTTGCAGGAGCCTTCGCGTGGACCCGGGCTTGGGCGCAGGAGCTTGCAGGACTCTGCCAGGCCTGACTGGCCCGGGTCTGGATCGACCCGGGTCCGAAGATCCCCGACGCTGCCGGTTTGGGGCAGCGGTTGCTGCTGGGCCTCCGTGCCGCCATTTTGTGCCCGCATCCGCTGCGGGCGTGCCGAGAGGCGGGCGAGCAGCTGGAGGCGGGCGGGCAGCCTGCGCCGAGGAGCGGGGGTGCAAAGGTGAGGCCCGGAGGGGTGGGGGCCCTGCGTCGGCGAGGGGGGGAAATGGGAAGGAGAGAAGGTCTTCTCAGAAGGCGGCGGAATGTCTCAGAAGCCCCCGCACCTTCTGAGAAGTGTTCTGCGTCTTCAGGAAGGGCTGAGGACACTTCTCAGATGGCTCGGGGACTTCCGAGCCTTCTGGGAAGGCCTTCTCCTTCTTACCTTCCCCCCCCCCCTGCTCGCCGCCGACTATTGCTAGGAACCCATACATGCTCGCGCGATAAGAAAACGACGGACGGTTGTTGGCTGATTTCGCCTTCTGGGGGCATTCGCTGGGCCCCATGGGGAAAGGGTCGGACGTTTGGGAACCCCCTGTTGAAAACATGAAAGGTGTCGGGTGCCTGGGGATAGGCAGGGACCCCAGGCTTGACGTACCCTGCCAAGGCCCCTCGTCCTGATTGGGGCCCCATCCCTCACGCCCACCTCTCCCGCCCCCCAGTCCGGCACCCCCGGCACGCGGGCAGAACGTCACCGCGGAGACGCGTGCGTTCCCCAGTGCCAGGGTTTCCTTCTGAGCCCGTTCGGCGTCAGAGCCCCTTCGCCCGCTGAATGGGCAGCCGAACGGGCTCGGTTCTGGCAGGGTCGAAGGAATCGAGCCCGTTCGGGCGCCGAATGGGCTCGATCTTGAGTCCACCAGGCGGCCGAATGGGCTCCGACGCCGAACGCGCTCAGAAGGGAACCTCGGGGTGCCTCCCCCGCCCTCCCAAGGTCCATTTCGATCCGATCGGTCCGATTCGATCTGGGCTCTGGCCGGCCCAAGTCGATTCGATGCTGACTCTCGGGCGATCTGATGCGGCCATATGCTTGCATGGCGCTGCTGTGCATCCTGGCGGTGCCGGTCCAATTCGATTCCGACTCCGAGCCGATGCGGCCTGATCCGATACACGGTCCGATCCGATCCGATTTACCGATTCGATGTTGACTGTTCCTGCCCTCCGGCCCAGCGTCTCCGGTGCGCAGGCGGAGCGCCACCATTTACTTGCCTGGCGCATCGTTGCCACGCCGTGCAGCGCACAATTGCGAGCACATTGCCGCACGAGTTGCTGCAGGCGTGCATGCGCGTATGTCTGCGGCGCCCCTCCGTGGCAGCCGAGGCTCGAAGTTAGACGTCGCCCGACACGTCCTGGAGCCAGGCAGACGGGAAAACTGCGCCATCACGGCTTGAGTGTATCGTCTGACCGATCCCCATCCCCATCCACATCCCGGGCCCCATCGTCTCACCACCTCGGTTGGGGATTTGCCCCTCGAAGCCCGAAGAGAGCAGCCTATATCCCCATCAGGGAGGGGGGGTAAATCGGCCAGTGGGACCCAGCCCACGCTGGTGGGGATGGGGATCGGTCAAACGATGCTCGTTGAGAGCTCCTTGGCTTCCTCGTGCCCAGCGCCCCCGGTGCGCAGGCGTGTGCGCTGCCGCGCAGGCGCGTGCGTGCCGCCCCCCCCCCCCCGGGTCCGCGGAGACAGCCAAGGGTTAGGTCGGGCATGTCTTCCTACAGGCGTATTTTGGGCGCAAAATGAAAGATGCCCCCAAAAAATATTCAGACATAGTCAAGAAGTAGCCGAAGAATCGTCCGCAGATTACCTCTTGACCATTTCTGAATATTCCTCCTGTAGCGGGACGTGCCCGACGGAAGCCCAGGGCCGAGGCCTCGGGGGCTGCCCCGCCCGCCGCCGTAGAGGCCCGAGGCCCGGGTGCCCCCGCGGGGAAGCACGACGGGCGGCGAGCTCGGGGGTCAAGTTCTCCGGGAGACGAGGAGGGAGAGGACCTTGTGTAGTCCAAAACCCGGATATCAGGGCGCCTGAAGGGCATGGAAAGGCCTGGCGAAGCCCTTCGGAAGGACCAGGGGGGAGCTTCCGAAGGACCTCCTGAAGAGCTTCCCGGCACGCGTATTGGGAAACGTTTAGAAGAACTCGGAGGTCCGCGCGGATTTCTCGGATCGGCGCTGGACCCCCCTCCCTGGCGTGCGGAGCGCGCCAGGGGCGGCGCCGGAGGCGCCGCCAGGGGGATCCAGCGCCGATGCGAGAAGTCCGCGCGGCCCTCCGAGTTTTTCCCCATATCCTAAGATGGGGTTCTTGTTATTACTTGGACGCCTCCTACTCCTCCTTCTCCTCCTCCTCCTCCTCCTCCTCCTTCTCCTCCTCCCCCTTCTCATACCTAGACTTACTCATACACAGACTTACTCGTACACAGACTTATTCAACTTACTCATGCTCAAACCTACTCATACTCAGACCTACTCATACTCAGATTTACTCATGCTGAAACTCACTCATACCCAGACTTACTCATACTCAGACCTTTTCATTGTCTGACTTACTCAACACACAGCAGATTGTGAGGATGTCTCAAGGGTATTGTACGGTCCCGTTCGCGGCCGTTTTGTGGGGATGTCTCAAGCGGTTTGCTTGTTTTCTGTCCCAACATCCTTCGCTTGGAGAGCAGATCTCCGTTTTCAGCGGCCGCCGAGGGATGTTTCCCGTTCGTGGGGATGTCTCAAGCGGTTTGCTTGTTTTCTGTCCCAACATCCTTCGCTTGGAGAGCAGATTGAGAGGATGTCTCAGGCGGGGCGCTGGTTTCAGCACCCCTAAGGGGAGCCGCCGAGGGATGTTGCACGGTCCCGTTCGCGGCTGTTTTGTGGGGATGTCTCAAGCGGTTTGCTTGTTTTCTGTCCCAACATCCTTCGCTTGGAGAGCAGATTGAGAGGATGTCTCAGGCGGGGCGCTGGTTTCAGCACCCCTAATGGGAGCCGCCGAGGGGTGTTGCACGGTCCCGTTCGCGGCCGTTTTGTCGGGATGTCTCAACCGGTTTGCTTGTTTTCTGTCCCAACATCCTCCGCTTTCGGAGCAGATTTGGAGGATGTCTCGAACGAGGCGCTCATGTTCACCCCCCAGGTGGGCCAGATGTTGAGGATGTCTCGATCGGTGTGCTTGTTTTGGTGGCCAGACTCGTGGGCACAGATTCTCCTCAGGATGCCACAGGAGGCTCCAACACACTCCAGGAGGCCCCAAGAGGTCATATGAGGTCCCAGGAGGCATCAGGAGGCCACAGAAAGACTCAAGAGGCCACAGGACGTCCCAAGAGGCTCCAGGAGGCCCCAGGAAGCTCCAGGAGGCTTTAGGAAGCCACAGGAGGCCCCAGGAGGCCACAGGAAGCGCCAGGAGGTTTCGGAAGGCAACAGGAGGCCCAGAGAGACCCCAGGAGCAGGAGGCCTCAGAAGGCAACAGGAGTGGCTCCAATCCCATGTGTTTTACGTATGCTCCTATAGATTGGGCCTCACCTGGAGCACGAATCCTTGATGTTATACGTGTGTTTCTATAGATTGTCCTTCTCCTGTGTACATAGTCCTAAATGTTTTATTTATGTTCCTACATTGTGGGCCTCTCCTGGGGCACGAATCCTTGGTGTTTTTACGCGTGTTCCTATAGATCGCCCTTCTCCGGCGGCTCCAATCCGCAATGTTCTATGTATTTTTAATTTTTGATTGTTATATCTCTCGCTTCGTTGAGGCCCGCTTCAGTCAGCTTGCCTGTCTGTAACTATTTCGCTCAAGTCTTGAGGCCGATGTGGCAGCAGCGTCTCCAAGATTTCGCTGCCAACAGCCTGCTTTCATACCCCAGCAGGTGTCCAGCGGCTCCCCCTTGTCCCGCGGTGCCAGCCTGCCCCGCGTCAGCCGCTGTCACGTGCGGGTCGTGCCCGCCGTGCCCAGGCTGCCCCGCTCTGAGCTGCGGGGGACAGCCCGAGGCGGACGAGTGCCCGTCGGCGGTGCCCTCGACTCCGTGCGCATGGACTTTCTGGCTGACGGTGGGCGTTCTCATCGGCGTTGTGGTGAGTTGGGCCGCGGTGCTGGCCCTCGGAGTCCTTCGAGGGGCGCTCGGCCACGTTCGTGTATTGCTCGGCGGCTCGTCGGATTCAGCTTCTTCAGCGACGATCGGTTCGCACAATGGACACGTTGGACATCCCCGAACCCCAAGTACTCGGGCACTATCCCAATGATGAGGGAGGCATGTTCTGGCACCACCGCATTCTGGTGAAAAAGGTCGCAGCGGGGGCGTGGATAGCTATCACCCCCGACCTGGAGCTGGTGCGTCACAACCTCTTAGAGCAGCGCCACCTGGTCCTGGACCGCAATATGATGTTCCCTGCGGATCGCCGAGCCGAAGTTTACGGCTTCGACCCTGCGCCTCGAGCTGAGATTCTGGCTTTGAGGAGGCAGGCCGCAGTTCAGGCGGCAATTTTGGGCGACGGCGACCATGACGCTGGGATGGAGAATTTCGCTTGGGTCATCGCGGAGGTAGATCACCCTAAGTTTGCCCAGCCCCAGGTTGATGCAGAGTCGGACCTGACCACCTTGGGCCAGTCCAAGGGCGTGGCGCTGTAAACGGTCTTGAGGTGTTCATTGAGAGGGTTCAGGGCAACCAACTGCAGGAGTGGAAGGCCGCGCGCAGCTCGGAGGGAGAAGACCTCCGTACTCTGGGCGACCATCGGGACTCCGCAGGCCGCCGTCATCTCCCGCTTTCGGATGCTGTGTCTTTGATGCGCGAGACGAGCGTCGACGAATGGGCCATGCCTGGGCCACGAGTTGCTAAGGAGTGGCTTGTCTCGGTTCGGGATGGCCCTAGAGATCTTTCCTCTTACCACGGGCAGTGGGCTCGCCGTTCGGGAGTCAGTGACTCCTCGGCGGTGGCCCACGTTCATTGTGCGCAGTGCGAGTCGGTTCGGTTGGCCATTCGGACGGACCAGCTCGGTGCGACGAACCTGCCGAGCTCCGAACTCATCATGCGCAGGATCTGCCAGGACGAGACCGCGGTGGCTCGCAACCCTCGCCATCCTGACTACGGTGGGCAAAAAACATTGCTTCACGCTCCGACCACCGAGCAGGGCCAGGCGAGCACGAACAGGTTCACGGAGTGGGTCACGGGCCGTCTCGAGGAGCAGGCCGCGATCTACAGGCAGACTCGGTTGTGGAACGAGGAGCAGTGGGCCATGCAGAACTCTCGCGCCCCCGCAGACCCAGGGCGAGGACGGGGCCGGGTCCGCGGGCGCGGCAGAGGCGACAAGGGGAGCAAGGGCGAGGAGGAGGCCCCGGGGTGACCGCGGCCTTCCGGGCCGAGTCTGATCCCCGAGCTCGGCCCGACGCTCCTGCTGCGGATCGGGGACATGCTACCCGGTGGAGGCCCTCAAGACGGAGGCATGGGGACCCTTTCCCTCTGCCGCAATTTTTGCCCTCTCAGCTCGACAGCTCGGGCTTGAGTTTCGAGCAGCGACAGCGAGCACTCTCGGCGCGGGCTTCGCTCAACCACCTCGCTGCTGCCCAACCGAATTCAAATAGTTTCTGCCGGGCTCGCCAGTCATCTCGGGCCCCGACTGCCGTTCAGGAATGGATATTGGACAGCATTGCGGAGCGCGCTGCCGCTGTGGGGCCCCCCCCGCCTGGCCTGACGGCCGAGGGGGCCGCTCGCGAGTTGCTGGCTTCCAAGGACCTGTACTGCCAGGGGCCGAAGAACCTCGCGCCGTTCGATCTGACAAAGCTCAAGGTCGCAAAAGGGCGCGCTCGGCCTCGCTCTGCGGCTAACTTCTTGCCACCCTTGCCTGCGGACATGATCCGCAACCCCGCGTTGTACATCGAGAAGGATGAGGGGGAGATGGAGTTCATGCGCCAGCACACCGATCCTATTCGTCCTTACTGGGATCCCGTGCTTCGCTCGAGTCGGACTGAGCGTTGGCGACTCTTCAGGGTGCTGCATGAGCTGGATCTGATAACGTTCAGACGTCGTCTCCGAGCTCGCGCTGCCCTTTTCTTTGTAAAGAAAAAGAAACCAGGTGATATTAGAATGATTGTGGACGCTAGACAGGCCAACTCTTGTCATCGTGCCCCTCCGACTTCAAGACTCGGTTCAGCTGGGGCCCTGGCGGACCTCGACCTCTCCGTGGGTGGCGAGTCCGTCGACGGCGTCGGCAGCGCGGTGGGCTGGGACCCCCACGGGAACGAGGCCGATGTCGAGGACTGCTTCTACAACTTCGCCATCGATGGCTTGGCGGAGTGGTTCGGTTTCGACGACCCGCTGCCCGCCGCCGAGATCAGGGGCACTTACGGCATCAATGTCGGAGCGTTCTGGGACCCCGAGCTGAGCATGATGGTCTCCGTGAAAGATGACATGGTCTTGTACCCGTGCATGCGTGCTACGTGCATGGGGTGGTCTTGGGCTCTGTACTTTGCGCAGGAGGCCGCGTCGGCTATGACAGAACGGGCGCTGCGCTCGCCGTCCCTGCCGACGCCTGCCATGGTGAAGGAGCACCATCCCGCCCCCGACTTGAGAGAGTCCAAGGTCATGGGCAGCGTCTACGTGGACAACATCACCATCTTCGGCAGGGACGCCTCTCTAGCCCGTGAGGCAAGCTCCGCCCTACAGGCTGAAGCTGATCGATCTGGATTGCCTATCACGTGGTCCTATCCTGATGTGGTGACCCACCTCGAGACCGTGGGCGTTGAGATCGTCCTCAAGAAGGGGAAGCTGCGCAACAAGGCCTCCCGAGTGTGGCGCTTTGACTTGGCCACCCGCGCCCTCCTGCGTCGTGGCAAGATGCGGGGGGGGGCACATGGAGGTCTGGTTAGGCCACGCTGTGTCGCTGCTGATGCTGGCCAGGCCGGGGTACGCCGCGCTCTCGGCCACGCACCGGTTCGCCGAGGTCGCCCGGGGTGTTCGGACCCCCCTCCCGCGCGAGGTCATGCACGAGATGAGGCTGGTCGCCGGACTGGTCTGGCTCGCGGAGGTCGACCTAGCTGCGGCCTACGTGCCGCACGTCTACGCCAGCGCCTCCGCCGACAACGGGCACGGCCTGATGTACAAGAGGGCCTCGGACGAGGAGATGCAGTCAGCCTTCCGCTGGAAGGAGAAGTGGAGCTTCAAGCAGCACCTCCGAGGCCCCCGTGTTGGCCTGACCTCGGCCGCTGATGTCGCTGAGATGGGCGGCTACAGGGAGGTGGACGAGGCGCAGCTGGATTACGAGGTGGAGCCCCGTTGCCGCTCCGCCGAGCCGAGCGCTGGCTCTGCCCCTGCCACGGCCTTCGGCCAGTGGCTGCAGAGCAGGGCGGAGGAGGGCTCTGACTCCGCCGGGTCTCACCGACCTCGCCCTCGCCGTCTGCGGCGGCGCCCAGTCGACCCTGGGGGCCCCGACGCCGAGTGCCTCAGCCAGGCGGCCCCCCTGGCGCCGCCGCTGCCTGCCTCCTGGTTCGACCCGGAAGGCTTCAAACTGGTCGCGGCGAGGCGCTGGCGCTGGCCTGGAGAGCACATCAATGTGAAGGAGACCCGCGCTGCGGTGATGGGGCTGCGGCATGCCTGTCGCGTCCGCCAGAATTGCGGACGCCGCCTAGTTTCTCTCGTGGACTCCATGGCATGTGTTGGCTGCCTGGGCAAAGGGCGGCCCAGCCGCTCAGCAGCTCTGAACGCGCAATGCCGGCGAGCTGCGGCCTACACCATCGGCTGTAGAGCGCGTTGGAGGCTGCGGTATGTCAACGCGAAGTTTAACGTGGCCGACGCTCCATCTCGTCGGTTCGAGCACAACTCCCCCGACAAAGGATGTAACAGACAGAGTTCGGCAGATATGACAACATCTTCTCCCTCTCACTTCCCTTTGAACGTTGTAGTCAAGACGGGCAGCCCGCCTCCTGGACTCGGCCTCGCAGGGCATCCGCCCGCCGCGGCCGAGAGCGACAAGCATCTGGGCCCGCAGCCTCCCGAGGAAAACGAAGTTTCTTCGCGTCGACCGTCCTGTCCGTCTTCCACCCCCACACCTTCGGTGACCAGTCGGACCGCCTGTCCCCCTCTGCGTCTTGGGCATGCTCAGCTTCGGAGACGGGCAAAGCAGGACCAGGGCTTCTTGGAGCTGTTCTCGGGCGAGGGTGGGCTCTCCAGGGCGTTCGAGGAGCTCGGCTCGTCAACTTACCCCTGCATGGACATCAAAGATGGGGCTCACCACGACCTGCTGGACCCGAAGGCCCAGAACATCATCTTAGAGGACATCCGAAAGGGGCGCTTCTGGTATGTGCATCTTGGGACACCCTGTTGTGTGTGGTCTCGGGCTCGTCACGGCATCGTCAACTATGAGAAAGCCGCGTACAAGGAGCGTGTGGGTGTAGCTCTCGCCCTGTTCAGCTGCCGCGTTGCTTATGAGTGTTCGCGGAACGGAGTTTTCTGGAGCATTGAGAATCCGAGATCTTCCAGACTTTGGGACTTCGACCCCGTTCGAGAACTCACTGACCTTCCTGACGTTGTTCGTGTGTGTTTGGTGCACTGCAGTTACGGGGCCTCGCACATGAAACCGACAGCGCTTCTCACTAACCTGTCAGCCCTGAGTTCCTTGGCTTCAGTGTGCTCCAGAGATCATTCGCATGTTGAGCCCAGGGGTTTCGAGACCGTGACGTTGCCATCTGGGGCTCGTGTTTCTCGCAATCGCACGGCAGGCGCTGGAGCCCACCCCCGCAGCCTCTGCCAGGCATGGGCCCTGGCCGCAGGCATGTCGGCGCCCGCGGTGGCCCGCAACGGCCCCGACGCACCGGACGGCGGGGACCTGGAGGCCCGGCTTCGCGATGCTGCGCGACGGCCGGCTTCGCGCGCCCGCGAGCGTCTCCGACCAGCTCGGCAGCGGCTGCAAGCGGAGCCTGACCTCGGGCTCGCTGGCGCCGCCGACTCGGACGGGCTCGAGAGCAGGTATGACCACCTGCGGCCTTTCATCGTCTTCGGTCAGGACTCCAACCTCGAGGCGGCAAGGAAACAGGCAGCCCGCCCGAGGAGAGGCCCGAAGGGTCGCTGGCCGCCGCTCCCGCGCATCTAGTCTCGTGGAGGCGATCAAGGGCCGCAGCCTGAGCTTCGGTCCGAGGGCGCCTGTCCCTGCGCATGGGGGCGCCGCCCGCTTCGGCTCGATCACCTCGACGTCGCTCGAGCGCTATGGGACCGCAGTCCGAGAGTTTTTTCGACTGGGCGAAGCGTTCAGATGCTCTCAGACAAGCTCCAGAGTCCTTCATCGTCAGTTGTGCAAATACTTCAATGTTCTCATGAGTGACGCTCGGCATGCCGCGGAAGGACGGTACACACTCGAGGGTATCTGGCTTTCTTCCCGCGGTCGGACATTGTCGAGTCCGCCCGGCCCGCGATGGCCCGTGAGGCAATGATGGGCCGGGTCCGTAGGTTCCCTGGCTCCTCACGGCATCCGTCGCCGCTCTCGGTTTTCTACTTGCTCATGAGTGTCTTTCTGAAGGACAATCATAGACGCCGTAAGGCTGACGCCTGTTCTGACCAGCTAGTCTTCCCGCATCTGTCTCGAGCCAAGTATGGAGCACTTTTTGAGAAGTACAGTCGCTCTATTCTCGGCAAGGTAAGGCTTCTCACTCCCCGCGTGCCCCGTCATTCAGCGCCTAGCCATGACGTGCTGGTGCGCGCACGCAGTCTAGCAGTTGTTCAGAAGCGCGGGCGTTGGGCCCACGCCTTTCTGTGAAACGATACGAAAGAGCGGCCGCTTTCTTCTCCCGGCCGCCCGTTTTCCCTCTGAGCTCGCAAGGCAAGCCGATGCTGCGGAGGCCTCCACCCTTCAGTGCTTTCAGGTGGCCCTCCAGTAATAGATCATGGCATGGGCTGTGATTGCCAAAGCCTTCGTTGATTCTTCAGGTGTACTCGAGGATCGAGTATCCCTTCGGAAGGAACCTTTTCGCTCTGCTCGCCTGGCGCATGACAAAAAGAGAGAAGGTTCCAAGAGATCCCCAACGGAGGCTCTATACAGCTCTCTGGAGTTGGTCTCTGGGCCGCTGGAGAAGGGCCTGAGATGTTTTTAATATTTGATTGTTATATCTCTCGCTTCGTTGAGGCCCGCTTCAGTCAGCTTGCCTGTCTGTAACTATTTCGCTCAAGTCTCCCTCCTCTCCCTCCCTAAGTCTGTGCTGGGCTGTGATTGCCAAAGCCTTTGTTGATTCCTCAGGTGTACTCGAGGATCGAGTATCCCTTCGGAAGGAACCTTTTCGCTCTGCTCGCCTGGCGCATGACAAAAAGAGAGAAGGTTCCAAGAGATCCCCAACGGAGGCTCTATACAGCTCTCTGGAGTTGGTCGCTGGGCCGCTGGAGAAGGGCCTGAGATGCGTCTGTTGCTATATATTGGGCCTCTCCTGGGGCACGAATCCTCCCTAGGAGGTCCCAGGAGGCCCCAAGAGGCTCGTGGAGGCCCCAGGAAGCCTCAGTAAGTTTCAGGAGGCCCCAGGAGGCCCCAGGCTCATGCGCAGAGACGCGCTCGTACTACTGAGGTTCATTCACACTCCAATCCATTCGCAGTTAGATGCATTACCAGACCGTCACAACTCAAGCCCGCTTATATTCGAAAATTCACGGCGGACAGGTTCATGCGAATAGATGCAAAAATGGGGAGCTCCACGCAGTAAGTAATTATGTTTATGTCGTTGCTCGTTCCCCTATCCTTTCGGCGTCTTGACTGCACTTCGAAGCCCCGCTCCCCCCCCCCCCCCGCGAGTTTTTATGTCTTTGTCATTGCTCGTCCCCCTATGTTTTAAGCGTCTTGACTGCACTTCGAAGCCCCGCTCCCCCCCCCCTCGCGAGGTTTCAGGTTTCTGTCCTTGCTCCTTCCCCTGCTCTTGCGGCGTCCCGATTCTACCTCGAAGCCCGCCCCCCCCCCGCGAGTTGTTCTTGCTCTTGTCACTGCTCGTTCCCCTGCTCCCCCTCGGGCGGAGAGGGGGGAGCGCCAGGGCCGCGGCGCGGCGCCGGGCCCCGCCCCTCGGGGCCCCGGCCCCGCGCCCCAAGGGGGGCGGGCGGAGGAGCGGCAGGGCCGCGGCGCGACGCAGGGCCCCCCCCTCCTCGGGGCCCCGCCCCGCGCCCGGTCCCCCCCCCCCCTCCTCGGGGCCCCCCCCCCACCCCTCCTCGGGCTCCTCCCTCTCGCCCCCCCCCCCTCCCCCCCTCTCGGGGCCCCGGCCCCCCCCCCCTCCTCGGGGCCCCGCCCCGCGCCCCAGTGTGGGCCCCGTCCCTCTCTGGGGCCCCGTCGCAGAAAAAAATGGTAGAAAGGTGGTCAGAAAAATGTCCAGTTTCCCCCTCTTTTTTTTTTTACACATTTGATTATGGAAAACCCGAATTAAAATGTTACTTACACTCTCATACTCATATGCAACATGTTCAATGGGCACAGGACCCAAATATTTGGCTGGGCCGCCGGCAGGCGTCAAGGGGAGGAAGAACTGCACGGGCCCGACAGCTGGCGTTTCCGGAACGGCCCCGGGCGTTTCCTAAAGACAGCCCTGCCCTGTCGGATGATGCCTTCTCTGGGCGCGTCTGCCGAACTAGAACTATACTTCGCGTGTCGGGGTGGTTCTTATGGGGGGGGAATTTGGACCTCTAAGGAGGGTGTGGGCGGAGATCGGGGTGACCCAAAAGGGGGTCCAGCTGAAAGGGGGTGGTGCAATAGATTTGGGGCAATTGTATTGCAAATGCATTGCGCCGGAGAAGTGCATTGCATTGTATTGCAAGTAGTGCGTTGCACGCGAGAATCCAGCAACACATCATTTGCGCACCAGAACGCGCTGCACGCCCACAAGTACATTGCAACTCCACAAATCGATTGCTCCAAGTCTATGACACCTGGACCCCTTGTGGGTCAACCCGAGGAGAAGCGGCAGAACCGCTACGCGATGCAGGGCTGGCCCAGCCCTGTTCGACTGTTCGATTCCTTCTCTGGGCGCGTTTACCACACTGCTTCGCGTGTCGGGGTGGCTCTTGTGGGGGGGGATTTTTGGACCTCTACAGGAGGGTGTGGGCGGAGAAGCGGCAGAACCGCGACGCGATGCAGGGCCGGGAGCACCTGTGCTCGCGCCTCTCCCGCCAGAGGGAGCCGGGCGACCACGACCGCGTGGAGGGCCTGCCCCTCGAGCAGGGGCGCGCCATCGCCGAGGTCTCGAGGCTGGTGCGGGGGGCGCCCCCGCCGGGAGGGGATGCGCGGCGCGAGGGGAGCGGGGCTCCGAAGTGCAGTCAAGACTGGTGGGCCTGTTTTCGACCACCACCACCACCAGAAGTTGGAGGGGGAGGGGGTCCTCCTCCTCCTCCTCCTCCTCCTCCTCCTCCTCCTCCTCCTCCTCCTCCTCCTCCTCCTCCTCCTCCTCCTCCTCCTCCTCCTCCTCCTCTCCTCCTCCTCCTCCTCCTCCTCCTCCTCCTCCCTCTCCTCCTCCCTCTCCTCCTCTTCGTCCTCCTCCTTCTCGTCCTTCACCCCCTCTCCCCATCCAACTTATGCTGGTGGTGGTGGTGGAAAACAGGCCCATCAAAGACGCGGAACGAGCAATGACATAAACGGAACAATTCGGAGGTCCGCGCGGATCTCTCGGATCGGCGCTGGGGCCCCCGGGCGGCACCTGGCAGCGCCACCCCTGGCGCGCGGAGCGCGCCAGGGAGGGGGGTCCAGCGCCGATCCCAGAAATCCACGCGGACCTCCGAGTTGTTATGCTTATGTCTAGAGAAGGACCGTTTGGGGTTCGGAAGGGGTTGGCTGTTCCCTAGGTCATTCCGTGGTTCTTCCTCTAGCCCTCCTCGTGCACGCGGGCGCTTTGGTTGAACAAAAATTGAGTTCCGTTCCTCGTGCAGCGTTCCTTGTTTCAGCAGCCCGGCCGTAGGCAGCAGCACAACCCACCCTCACCCCCAGCCAGGACCCCCACTCCCGACCTTTCGGTCCAGGGCGTCCTGGCTGGGGGTGGGGGTGTTTGGGGGGGTGGGGGGTTGTTAGAGGCCAAAGAAGCACCCTCACCCCCAGCCATGGCCCCCTGGATCACCAGGGCGGGAGTGGGACTCCTGGCTGGGGGTGGGGGGGGATTGCGTTGTCCGCATCTAAGAAGACACGAGGGCCACTTAGTAGCCCGCCCGGCGTCGAAGAAGCCTTCTTGGCTGCTTCCAGGCCCATCTCGGAAGGCCCCTGCCTTCTGAGAAGCCCCCCATCTCCTTAGAAGCCCACCACCCTCGCGCCACCCTCTTTCGGGCGCCTCCAAGGCTAGCGCGAGGGCGGCACTGGCAGGATCGGAGGCCCAGAGGTTGGCACCAACACCATTGGCCGTTGCCTCCGCCGAGGGAAGATGATTCCGATCTCGGCGATGGTGATAATGTTCGGGCTTGCTAGGTGGCTTGAAGATTGCCACCAGCACCAAAATCTAGGATTCATTTTCTCCGCCGGAAGAAACCCTCTGAACTGATGGTGATGCCAATTTTCCGAGCCCCCAACAGGATGCGCTACTGCTGCTGGGCTCAGTGCCGGACCCGGTCCCGAAGCTGCAGGCTCGGAGGAGGGCTCAGTCGAGACAACGGCGGCCCTTCCTTCCGCTGTTCGCGTGTTGGGGGGGGGGGGGGCGTCTGGGAGCTTCTCCGTCGCCACGGCTGGATCCACCTCGAGGATCGAGTGCGGATAGAGCCTGGGAGGGCTCCAGGGGACGTCCAGGGACCGTCTCGGCTGGCCCTCCTCGGACAGGCGGCCGCCCTCGACGCGTGCGCCAAGGCGCTGGAGCTCGGGCAGGCGCAGCAGCTGTTCGACCAGATGAAGGAGAAGACCGTGCCCGCGTTCAACATCATGATCAACCTCCACGGGCGCCTGAAGAAGGTGCACGTGGCAGAGGAGCTGCTGCTCCGCATGCGCGAGGGGCAGCTCAAACCCACCGCCGTGACGCACGGATGCATGATCAACGCATACGGTATCGAAGACGCCTACGATGGATCGCCGCCGTCCCCTGCAGGGGGGCCTCTGGGGCTGTTGCAGGGCAATCAAGGGAAAATGTATGATGTTGGCCTCCTGGTGGTCATCTTGGAGCCCACTTGGGGCGCCTTACGGGCTTCTTGAGCTATCTGAAGGACGTCTAGGGCCATCGTTGGGTCATCTTGGGCCGTCTTGGGTGCATCTCGGCCCGTCTTGGAGACCTCTTGGGGCCATGGTGGGGGATCATCTTAGCCGTCGTGGAGGCACCTTGGAGGCCGTCTTGGTGGCGAGTTTGCTGGTTTTCCCAGCCTTGCGGGTACTTCCAGGTGGCCGGCGCATTCGGAGGAAGGCCTCGAAGACCAAAACCATTCAGAGGTTTGGCACGCTGTGCACCCCTGTGACAAGCCACAGGGGGCGGCGGAATTGGTGGCCTTCGGCCTATCCCGCCACCGCGCCAAGGTTGTGGGTCAGAGAGGTCTTTTGGATGCCTGCGGAGGTCCTTCCTGGAGCCTCGTGCAGAAGGTCTGTGAGGTGTCTTGGGGCATATCGGGGCCTCTTGGAGGCCCCCTGGGCCCCGAATCTGGCCTCTTGGGGGCCTGCATCCCAGGAACCTTACAACGCCTTTTGTTGAGCTTTCTTTCGGAGCTGCCAGAGCCCTGGGGCGCGCTCTACGACGTGCTGGAGGCACGGCGGCGGATGACGCACGACTCGGGCGCCGTGATGCGCGTCCTGGAGGAGACAGGGCTGGACCTAAACGCTGTTTTGTTGGACTTCGGCTGTGTTATGTTTTTCGTTTTTCTGGCAGAGAGGTACAGGAAAACAGTTAAACGAACAACGAAACGAAAACGAAACGAAAAACAGCGTCTAGGTCCAGCCCTGGGAGGAGATGCAGCGGGAGGGCCTCCGCCTGACCGAAGTCACCTTCGGCAGCGCCATCGCAGCGGTCGCCCGCGGCGGCGACAAGACCCTCGTGGGCGAGCTCCTGGCGCGGATGGAAGACTGCGCCCTGCAGCCGGGGCTTGGGCACCTGACCAGTCGGGTCGGACGAGAGGGGACGGGGATAGGGAAAGGGGGGAGGTCCAGAAGCTGCTGCGCGCACCCAGTTTCGACCCTGCCGCCGGCTGCCGCGGTCCCCTTCCAGAGGTCGGCACCATCACCAGTATCGGCGGTTACCTCCACCGAGGGACGATGATCCTGATCTCGGTGATGGTGGTAGTATTCAGGCTTCTCAGGTGGTCGACCACAATCCGGGATCATCTTCCCTGGGTGGAGGCAATATCCTGTGTTGGTGTTGGTGCACATTTCCAAACCCCAAAGTATCTCCGCCGCCCATGCGTGAGCTGATTTGCTGAACCCCCCGGGGCAATCCCTTCCTTTCGTCCGGACCCGAACCAGCGCCATCACGTCCTGCGCTATCAGCAAGGACGAGACCCGCGCGCGGGCCGCGTTCGAGGAGAGTCGGTGGCATTGTCCTTGGCCTCCCGGATGGGATCGGAGTAGATCGGGTCTGAGATTCTCGCCGCGTCGCTGATGCATCGCTGATGCGTCGGCGATGCAGCTCAAAGTGGCGCCCAATTTCTCCACTCCGACGCCGTCGATGCATCGCCGACGTCGCGATGCATCGGCGATACGTCGGCGATGCGGTGCAACCCTCCGACCCCGACTACTCGGACCCCTTCTCGGAGACATCCGGTCGTCCTTCTCCCGTCGGTCGCGTCGTCCCCTTCTCACCTGGCTGCCCTTCCTCCTCCAAGCGGGCACGAAGACTGTATCCAGCTGCCTACGGCAAGTCCCGCCACCGTGCCTGGGTTGTGGGTGATATGCCTAGCGGATTGTTCGTTGGAATCTCGTGGGAGGCCTCTCGAGGGCCTCTTGTAGGCAGTTTTGGGGACTCTTGAGGGCCGTTTGGGGGGGCCTCTTGGGGGCCTCCTGGGGGCCCCTTGGGGACTCCTGGGGGCCCTCCTGGGCGCATGTTGGGGCCCCCAGGAAAGGTTCGATTCGTGTTCCCTCTCTGGGGCCCCTTTTGGGGCTGTCTTGGAGCCCTATTGGGCGCCTCTTGGGCCGTCCTGGGGCGCTCTTAGGTCGCATTGGGGCCCTCTTGGAGGCCTCTTGCCGTGCTGGGGTGGTCTTGTCCTCCTCCTCCTCCTCCTCCTCCTCCTCCTCCTCCTCCTCCTCATCATCATCATCATCATCATCATCATCATCATCATCCTCTTCCTCTCCTCCTCCTCCCCTCCTCCTCCTCCTCCTCCTCCTCCTCCTTCTCCTCCTCCTCCTCATCCTCAGCCTCGTGCTGCTCCTCGTCCTCCTCCTCTTCCTCCTTCTCCTCCTCATCATCATCATCATCCTCCTCTTGGGCCCGTCCTGGAGCGTCGGAACGCCGAAGAGGCGGGAAAAGCCTTTTGCAGGCACGTCTCTGCAGTAAGCCGCTGCGTGTCCTCCTCCCTCTTTGCCCTCCTCGTCCGCCTCCCGTCGGGCCCGTCGTCCTCTCCTTAAGTCGGGCATGCTCTCTCTAGAGGGGGGGTGCTCAAAAATAGCCACCAAAAATTTAAGTCGGGGGGCGATGGTTAGACTGTCTCTGACTGTGTTCGAATCTCTGTTGGGGTATCTTTTACTTCTCGTCCCGAAGCCGCCTGCACTAGCGCCGTTTAGCGCCGTTCTGCTTCATGCTTCAACCCCAAACCGTGTGTTTGTACTAAGAGGTCCCGTAGAGGAGGAGGAGGAGGAGGAGGAGGAGGAGGAGGAGGCGGACATGCCCGACCCAACCCTCTTCTCTCCGCACCGCCTCCTCCCCCGTCGTCCGAGGAGATCCGGCGCCGGGGCCACCGCCCGGACCTCGTCGCGTACACGAGCCTGCTGGCCTGCCTGCCCGGCACCCCGGAGGGCCTCGCGGGCGCGGAGGCGCTGGTCGCGGAGATGCGGGGGGAGGGCATCCCGGGGGCGTCCACGAGGGGGGCCTGGGGGCCTGGGAAGGGTCGAAGCCAAGGCTTCAGTCGGGCATGCCCCTCTGCAGGAGGAATATTCAAGAAGTGTCGAGAAATAGTGTTGGGTACGATTTTTGTGCAATTTCGAGGGGGGCCTGGGGGCCCTGGGAAGGGTCGAAGCCAAGGCTTCAGTCGGGCATGCCCCCCTGCAGGAGGAAGAAGTATTCAGAAATAGTCAAAACATACCTTGGGGGACGGTTTTTTTCATTATTTCGCACGATTTTAGGGTATTCTTGAGAATGTCTTATTTTCCGTCCAAAACCCGTTCGTAGGAGGACACGCCCGACCTAATTCAAGGCCTCGGGCAGCCAGTGGTCTGGAGGCCGTGCCCCCGAAGGGTGTAGAGAGGCGGCCGACGGCGCCTTCCCGTCGCGGCGCCTCGCCGCGCGCCGGCAGAAGGGAGGCGCGCGCGTGCCCAGGGCAGCCGTGTGGGGTCCAGCCACGGCTGCCAGCCTTGAGATCATGGCACCTCATTTGCTGCTCGAGTCGGGCGTTCTTATCATTATTAGGATTACTATTATTATTATATTACTATTCTACTCTTATTATTATTATCATTATTATTATCATTATTATTATTATTATAGTTATTATTATTGTTATTAGTATCACTAGTATTATTAGTATTATTATTATTCTTATTATTCGTATTCTTCTTGTTAGGAATATGATTACTTTATTATTATGATTATTTTTTTTTCGGGCTCTGGGACCCTCACAGATCGATCCGGCTCGAAAAATGCTGCAACACGATTGGGTCTGGGGCTCCGGGCGTGATGTGTTCGATGTTGCATTTTTTCTACGTCGGATCTCAGGGACAGCGAGCACCTGCACATTATCGGGGAGCCTACCGCGAAGCACCGCCGCTCCCTGCCTTCTGGAAGCGCCCGCGTGGCCGAACTTTGTGGCCAACGCTTAGACGAGCTATCGGGTGTGTTCCCTGAGCCGCAGTGGGAACACCTCGAGGAACATAAAGGGGAGGATGAGGAAGAGCATCAGGAGAGGGAGGAGGAGGAGGATGAGGAGGAAGAGGATAAGGCCTCTTGGGGGCCTCTCTGGGCCGTCTTGGGGTCCTTTGGGGGCGTTTCAGGGCCGTCTTGAAGGACATCTCGGGCGTCTTGGAGTCCTCATGGGCCGTCTTGGGGCCGTAATGGGGGCTTCTTGGGCCGTCATGGGGCCATTTGGGAGGCCTCTTGGGCGCTCTGGGGGCAATCTTGGGGGCCTCCTGGGCCGTCTTCGGCCGTCGGAAAGCCCGAAAGAAGACAATGCCCAAATCCTTCCAACACCTAAGGCGAATCAGAAATTGGGGCCTCCTCGGACCTTCCTGGAGGACTTATCAGAGGCCCTTTGGGCCGTCTTGGAGGCCTCCTGGGAGCCTCTTGGGCTGTCTTGGACCATCTCGAGGCTATCTTGGGCCGTTCGGGGGGGAATCTTGTGCCGTTTTGGGCGCATCGTGGGACCATCTTGGGCTCCCTTGGGGCCACGCTGGCCGTCTTGGGACCATCTTGGAGGCCATCGTGGCAGTCCTGGGGAGATGCTTGTGGACGCAGAGGTCTGCATGCGCCTCCCTGGGTAGCCGGCGCGATCGGCCAGGGCCTCGTTGGGAATTTGTTGCGCAGAGCCAGAACTATTTCCACGTGCTCGGCATCGCTCGGGCGTGTGCATTTTTTCTCGGCGAGAACCATTTGAATTACCTAACACCGAAGACTGATAGGTTTCTAGTAGTCTCAAAAGAGAGCAGCACATTACTTCAACATTACTTCAACATTACTCCACAGGGGGGTCTGGGCAGCCGTTGGGGGCAGTTGGGGGGCAGTTGGGGGGCTGTTGGGGTTTGCCGGCGGGGATCGTTTTTCGCATACAGTCACACACTTCGTGCCCACTTCGTGCTCTTCGATTTCCCAGAACTCCATTCCCGGGCCACATTTTGGAAGCCCGGAGCCAACTGTAGGCCACTTCGTGCTCTTCGATTTCCCAGAACTC